TTTCCCTCATATCCAACATCACTAAGTTCTATAGATTTCTTCAAAATGACCTAAAATTATCTTCTCATTTTATTCCTGGTGCTACCATTAAGTCTCATGTGGACAAGTGAAATGTCCACTTATTTCTTATTCAGTATTTGCTTACTTATTTAGTATTTATGTTATTTTCCCAACCCGTGCTCCTGCTAAACCAGTCTCTATATAGTATACATAGGAAATTTTGAATAACATTCTCTTTCCTCTTTAAAACTCTCCAGTGACACGTAATTATTCTTAGAATAAAATCCAAATTCTTAGATATAAAGCCCTACATAATCCAATCCCTACTGATTTCTCTGATCTCATCCTATTTTATTTTCCCCTGTACTCACTACCTAAGACTTTGGATTAATTATTTTCTCTTTCTGGAATGTTTTTCCTAGATTTTTAAATGAGTGGATCCTCCTTAACCTTCATTCTTAGTTTCAGTGTGCCTTCCTCAGAAATACATTTTCTGATTATTCAACCTTAAATAACTTAATGTCATATCATACCCTTTTTATTTTCATCATCACACTTATTTGTGACTTCCTCGTTTTTCCTGTTTATTTGCTGTTTCTACACTAAAATATAAGCTCCAAAGAAGATGGTTAATATTTAATCACCTATGAATATAGGACTTAGGAAATAGTAGGTTCTCAATAAATACTCTGTATGAATAAGTAATGACTGGATGAATTAATATCATTTATACCTGTTGCAGAAAGAAAATGAGAACATCTTGAAGTAAGTGGGAGAATAGCTTAGTTTAATTAACAGTTAAAATTATACTTCTAAAAATAAACTTGTTACTTTCAGGTAACCTATCCTAGGTTAGCTAAAGATTGCATAGAAAGTCTGGTAAGACATGCTTTAAGAAACAGAAGACAATGAATTATAATTATACAATGATTATTTTCATGTAGAAATTAAAAAAAATTCTAAGAAACTTAAGTAATTTTTTGTAGTCAGAAATATATTTCCCCAGCAATCCATTTTCATACTCTAATTTGGCTTTAAAAGCTCTACTCTCTTAATTCTTGAAATTTACAAGCTAAATTTTACTGTAGTCTGTGACTAAATAATTATACATTTTTAAATAATGAATTTTTAAATAATGTGATTCATGTAGTGAAAGTAAAATTTTAAAATACTTGGTACATAAAAACTATTTTTTGAGAGCTTTAATTCATTTTCTAGTACATTTGTCTGAAAATTTTAAATATATTAATCATGAGATGATAAAAATAGATTTTGAAAGAATGAGTATTAATTCACCTTTAAAAATGACAAGTCTTTTAAGATCTAGGTCATGATATATAATAGTATGTTTTGGTATTAACAGTGCATCCTTTTAGTTGGCAAAATATTTTCTACGTCTCTAGAAAAATATTAATTAAAATCCTCGATTTTCCTTCCTAATTCCCTCCCACAAGTATGTATTGTTAATCAGTTTTGTTCTAGGCACTATATTTGATGTTCTACATATGAAGATGAGCTACACAGACCCTGAATATATTTTTGAGTTTACATAGGATGATAACTAAACAGGAAATAACTAGTTTTATGAAAGGTATACAAAGCCTAAGTAAAAGTGTTATTAAAGGAGCTTCTAACCTGAGGCAGAGAAAAGTCATGGACATTTCCCTAGGAAAAATATGACAGCTTTTCAAGAGTTGAAGGTTATAGAATAAATGTTTCCCAAGTAATATGTAGGGGAAGGATTTTTTGACAGGTTAAAAGTTCAAGGGCTTAGACATCAGAAAGAGACAGAGAATGTAGAACATTTGGGAAACTCAAGTCATTTTATCATGGCTAGAGTTTAGAATTTAAGTGGAGTGTTAGCAATCAGCAAGGCTGCATTTTTGAGCAAAGGTCAAGTCATCAGGACCTTCCAGTGCTTCTCAGGTCTGGATATTTTGTAGGTAAATGCAGAGACTAAGCCCCTAATCCTAGCTCTATCATTCATTGACTCTGATTTTTTTGCCATTTATATAATAACCTGACTTATTTTTATTATCTCTATAATCTTAATAATACAAGCTTTCTTAAAAAGTAAGTTAAGGGACTAGCAGTTGGTGTAATGGCTATGTCGCTGGACTCCCATGTAGTTGACCGTGGTTGGAGTCCCAGATCCCGTGGCTTAAACTCATGCCAGGCACGTGTGTGTGCATGCCCAAGATCTGGAGAGGAGAAGGGATTGCGGCGTGGCTGTCCCCTCAGGGGGTGATTTCCCACTTTCTGTCTCTCTGTCTTTCTGGTGAGCACATGTGCCCTATAGCAAAAAGCTCTTCCCTGCCAAAAAAAAAAAGTAAGTTAAAATAGGCAATTATAAAAACTGATATACAGGGCCAACCCATAGCACATTGGATAGTGTTATGCACCGAGAGCTAGATCTCACATAGCTAACTGTGGTTTGCATCCCAGCCCCAGTGACTTGAAAAACACTCTGGGCATATGTGTTCATGGCCCAAATCCTCACAGCATGAAGAAATGGAGGAAGAAGGGATTGTGGTGTGACCTCGCACTGTTGTGTTGAGCAGTGCTTTCTCTCTCTCTCTCTTTCTTTCTATCTCTGGTGAGTGCATGTGCTCTTGAGCAATTAAAAAATGACAATAATAAATGTTATGTACACATCTTAAACATGACTTAAACGTGTATTCATCTATATGCCAATGTTTTTTTAAAAGAGAGACTTTTGCCATAGGGCATGTGTGCTTGCTGGAGAGGCAGAGAGACAGAAAGCGAGAAGTCACCCTCCCACCACCTTCAGGGCATCTGGCCACATCACAGCCCCTTCTCCTCCATTCTCTTCTTAGGATTTTGGGCACAAACATATGCATGCCCAGCACAAGTTTTAAGCCACTGTGTCTGGGACTCAAACCATGGTCAACTACATGGGAGTTCAGGGACCGAACCATTATGCCACCCACTGGTCCCCACATACCAATATTTTGATGAGAGTAAAAAGCAATTATCTTAGTACAACTCTGTTGACCAAATTTTTGTCTTACTAAACCATGGCCATTATGTGTCATCTTCAGTTTCTACCTTAATTTCTTTAAAATAAGTGAGAACTTAGACACCTGGGAATAAAATTCATCTACACAATTATTCCAATTTTTATTATGAGTCTGAGCAATTTATAGTGAGTGCAAAAACATGTAATTCAACATAAATTATTTTTATTAATCCATCTTTATTAAGGCTCCCAAAATATTCTTTTGTACTTAATGTTCTAGAAAAACAATTTCCTTTAGGAATTTCCATCTTATTGGTTAGTAAGTTATTTAAATAACCTACATAATTTTAAAACAGTCACACCTAAACTTAAAGGTTTGAGATCTAACTCAATTGATTTATAACATTAAACTCAAAGTTCGGATGGAGAAATTAACATTTCCCAGCACCCATAAGTATTAAAAGAGTAGCGTAGTGGTTATAAGCACTCAGTGTGTGATGAGCACTGCTCATGTTTCACCGAGGGAATGGATAATGTCAATTAATCTACAGTGTCCTAGAGAAGATTAAGAGGGTTCCTTGTAATAGCACCTAGCTTATAAAGTTTACTGAAATAGTTTCTTTGATTTTGTTACTAGGTCAACCCATACTGTGCTGGTGTGGGAATGAGTAAAAACATCGCATTAGAGGAAATGCTGCAGTTTAATGGTTTAAGAGACTGCTTTTGTATGAACTAGAATAGGGTGTGCCTTATTCCAGGAACAGGCCTTTATACCTGGTTTGTGGACTGAATGTCATTTCTCTCTTGTCCTCTTAGCAGGACCTCTGTAGGGTGAACAACTGGCAGGAGTGAATCACAACCCCAGTCTTGCTGATTTAAGACATTTATTTCGATGCACCTCAGAATTTATGAACTGACCTGCTGATCTAAGGACTAACTGGCTTCCTCATTCTAAACAGAAAAATTCTTGCTTTCTTAAACATTACCAACGGTATATCCACTGGAAAGGCACATTGGTAAGGGCAGCTTTTTCTGTTTTTACCTCATATGGAAGGGATGGAGACTCTTCAGAAAAAAAAAAAAAAAGTTATGTCCATATGCATGTTTCTCGTTTAAACAGGATGACAGAAGAAAAGAAAATGTGGACTAAATATCAGTTTCTCGTATTTCTTTTACTTGAATTGAACAGCTTAATCCTACACTGTTTATTACATGAGTTTACATATAAACCAAGGCAGAATTTTCTTCAGCTTGGAAGGAGCTAGTTTGGAAGGAGCTACTCATTCTTTTGGTCCCTCTCAAATGTCACAAATTTCATGAGGCAAAAGACATTTAATTTCACATAAATTAAACTTGGGGACTCAGCCATCCTCCTCCTTGTATTTCCTGTTGGTATTCAATGCACACTTATAAATACTAGCAAAGGGTATATTTTTATCACTTAGACATAATATACACATTAAATGGCAGGTTAGTTAAATTCTTGCTTGTGCTTAAATAATTTTTGTTCTAAAACTTTGGGCATAAACAAATGTCCTTCAGGGAACGATGTGTCATTCTTCCTTGTGTCCTTCTGAATGTATTTTTGACTCATAAGGTGGTTCTTCTCATTGCAGCTTATTTGTGACCAGGCTATATAAAAAAACAGGTAGTTGTTTATGCTGTAAAATTATCAAGAAATTGGAAGAGGCCTAGCAGTAAGTTCTATAAGTTCTACAAGTGGTAAAGGGAAAACTTACATTAATTCTGAAGGGACTAGCTTGCCTTGTCAGTCTTTTGATTAGATAATGGAAAGCCATGAGCAAGGAGAAAATAACATGGGATTTTCTGATAACTATAGTATTATTTAAATAATTTAGACAATCAGTAAAAACAAGAGGAATATATGATTTTAGCTGCAGTTAAGAGAAAATACTTAACTTTTAAACTACCAAGAAATACTCTCTTCATCTTTTTTTTTTTTTTTTTCCCTAGGGAGTACATGTGCTTGCCAGAGGTGAATACACAGAGAGAGAAGGAAAGGAGAAAGCACTCCTCATGGGACTGATCACATGATCCTTTCTCCTCTACTTCCAGTCCTTTTGGAGTTTTGGGCACACATGCACAGTTACCTGGTGTATTTCTAAGCTACTAGGTCCAGGGCTTTAATGGCACAGTCAGCCATGTCCTTAACTATTGGGCCATAGAGCCAGATCTACACCATTTTCTAATTTTTATTTTTATCTTCTATAACATGACTCCAGTTTTATCTTTTCTCAAGCTATTTTCTAATCTGCTTATCCAGAAGTAATATCTTGATCTCTTTATAGTGCTTGTATTTTGTAGCTTAATGTATTTGTGTATGTATTTTAGCTTCCTTACTAGGTTGTAAGATTCTTGAAGGTAGGGACTATGCTTCTCAAAGAATTGCCTTCAGAGAATTTTTCACAAAAAATTTGAAGTATAAATGAGTGAATAACTGTATCTTTTGTGGAACATGATCTCAGCATGCTAGACATTAGCTTTTGAGAGCTATGAAGATAAAATGCTCAAGGGCAGGTGAGTCATATCTTTGACATAAAATTTTAGGAAACCTTAAAAATGTCACTGTTAAAGAGGAACCAGCAGTTGGCATAATGGCTACGTTGCTGGACTCCCACATAGTCGACTGCGGTTTGAGTCCTGGACCCAGTGGCTTAAACTCATACCGGGTGCATGTGTGTGCATGCCCAAGATCCTGATAGGAGAATGGAGGAGGAGGAATTGCAGCGTGGCCAGACCCCCTGGGGGGTGATTTCTCGCTTTCTATCTCTCGTTCCCCTTCTGTCTTTCTGGTGAGTGCACGTGCCCTATAGCAAAAATCTCTCAAAAAAAAAAACCCAATAATTAAATAGAATATGAAGTTTATGTTTCAACACAAACATGATGACAGCAGAAACCCAGAAAGCTCAATGTTGAAGTGAAATGACAGAATTTGAAATGGTCCTTCATTAAGGTATTCTAGCCCGTGGCAGATGGTAGAAACAAGTAGGTGGACTATTAGAAAGAACATAGAAATACATCATGGATGCACAGGAAGCAGTTGAACTAGTGTTGTGCTGAAGTAAAAGGTTGATTAATTTTATTGATGTTGTTTTACAAGGAGTAGATATGAAATACATATACATAAATACATAAAAAAGAAGTGACAAAGGACTTACAATACCACAAAAGATCATAAATAATTTTATTCTTTACATGATTAAATCAGTTCAGTCATTAGATAACTTGCTGATCCGATTGTTTTCCCCCTATATTTTGCTACAAGGCACATGTGTTCATGGAGAGAGACAGAGAGAAATTGAGAAATGATCCCCTGAAGAGTTGGCCATGCTGCAATCCCTTTTGAACACACATGCACACATGCCTGCTGTGTTTTTCAAACCACCAGGTTCAGGACTTGAACCACACAGTCAGCCATGTGGACTCCAACTGCTCTAACCACCATGCTCCCTTCTGTCCTCAAGATCACTTTTTTAAAAAGTTTTCTATTTTTTAATTTAATTTTTAAAATTTACATTTACTTGCTGTATATCTTTATAGTATATAATGTGGTTTTCCCCAGCATGAATACAATGCATCTTAGTCAAGTAAAGACATTACCATATACATTATCAATAGACAACTTCTCATTTTTGTATCTATTAAATTTTTTAAAATTTTGATCCCCTCCCTCCCACCTCCTATTACTCACTCCCTATTACTAACCCTCTTCTATATTGTCTCTAGTATCTACAATTGATCTTTCTGCTATTATACCTTCCGGTATTTCAGTTTCTGCCACAGAGTGTAGACATTTGGTATACATTAAGTGAGGACATACAATGCCTTTCTTTCATAGCCTGGCTTGCTTCATTTAGCATTAACTCTTCCCTATTTGTCCAATTTATATCAAATGTCAGGGTCTCATTTTTTTATGACTAAGTAGTATTCCATAGAGTATATGTGCCACATACTCTCACACACACATACACACAAGTTTACTTTTTTCCTAAGAGCAAGACAGAGAAACAGAAACACTTCATTCCCAATTGTGCGAAGTATTGATGCCACTATCTCCCAGTCTCAGCAACCTTGGGAGATGGGCACACACATGTCCAGCATACTCAGGGAGGTCTCTGTCTGCAAATCTGGAACTTTCTATGGGGTCAGTCACACAGGACATTGACTTTTAATGCTGTATCACTGTCTGGTTCTGTGCTGATCAGATAGATTTCATAAGAGGACAAAAATAATTCTCTCCTGTGAGCCTCATGGCAAGCAGCAATTTAACTGTCTATGTCCAGGGGACTAACAAATGATAATAAGATCTGAGTTTTATCTCAGGGAAGTCTAGTTACTTGCAAAAGCAAAAATTAATCAAACTGGTATTGAGAAAGGCGGAGTGCATGTTAATTTGGACACAGGTGTGTTCCATAGAACCCTGTGGCACAAAGCACACTTGAGACTCCAAAAGAAAGGAGACATTAATAGGTAGGCCCCAAAGGTAGCCACCATCTTGATCTTTTTGTGGAATTCATGATCTCTCAGTTTGGTTTCTCTATTTCATTTTATTTCATTTTTCCCTTTCTGCCTCTCTGGCCACATGACAAAAGATAGTTCTGTCAAATTTAACTGCCAAATTTAGGTATTTTCAAGTCAACCTAACTGGCAAAAGGAAGCTTTTATTTTTTATTAACTCATACTCAAAGAGAGAGAATGTTAATAGTCCAGCTTGGTGCACACTTTGTTCAATAAAATACAGTTAAATAATTGGTGCTAGGCATTTAATAGAATATTTAATTGAAATTTGATAGAATATTCCACAGTTTGTAAGATCTACCAGTTTCACTTGCCTGTCTTCACTCTGATAAAAACTGTTTCAAAGGAAATTTGTCAGAAATATTGAGACTCAAAGTATAAATGTGTCCCTTGCAGGGACAGCAAGATGAGAGAGTAGGTGATGATTTTCCCTCTCCACCTCTTAACTGTCATCAACTCATCGACTGATCTTAAGATCTTATCTGTATTTCCTTAGGTACTCACTGAATCAGTATCATAAAATCAGTCCCCTTACTACGGTGTTTCTGAAATAATACCTTAGACACTTACCATAGTCGCTCTTTGATAGATACATCAATGCCCAATTATCAACAATAACATAATCAGTTTTTTACATTTTAACAATCAATCAAACAATTGACTTTTATTAAAACATCTGGAAGCAAATATGAAAATTTATGTTAAATACAAATGATGATGTAATATAGGTGATTTTTTTTTTTGGAGAGATTTTTGTTACAGGTGTGTTTGCTTGCCAGAAAGACAGAGAGAGACAGAGACAGAAAGCGAGAAATCACCCCCTAGGGGGATGGCCACACCGCAATCCCTTATCCTTCATTACTCCTCTTGGGATCTTAGGCACACACACACATGTGTCCTCTGTGAGTTTAAGCCACCAGGTCTGGGACTCGAACCATCATCGACTACATGGGAGTCCAGCAGCATAGCTATTATGCAACTGCTGGTCCCGATCTTCTTAAATTGTTAAAGAATTACCTTGCCTTTTTTGCCTTGCGTTCTAATTAATTTATTATTGTGTCAGTTTTTTTAGACTAACACTAGCCCAAATGCATGTGAATATAAAGACATACATACACGAATATATAAACAGACATACATACATGAATACATACGTACAAATGTACTTATACATGTATATTCATATTACACTATTAAAAACAATAGTTATCAGGACCAGCAGATGACATAATGATTACATTGCTGGATTCCCATGTAGTCAATCACAGTTCAAGTCTCGGACCTGGAAGCTTAAAACTCATGATGGATGTGTGTACGTGCATACCCAAAATGCAGAGAGGAGGATGGAGGAGAAGGGATTGTGGTGTGGCTATCCTCATGGGGGGCGATTTCTCACTTCTGTCTCTCTATCTCTCCAGTGAGCATATGTGCCCTATAGTAAAAATCTCTTTCAAAAAAAAGATGATAGTTACCATTTATCTAATTGTTCTACATATCATTTACATATACTTTGAGTATTATCTTATTATTACATATATTTTGCATTTTATGATCATAAAAGCCAATTTTGAAGATGAAGTCACGTCAATTTAGAAATTTTTAATAAGTTGCCCAGAGTCATATTGCACAGTTACGATTATAGGGAGCGAGAAAAACTGCTATTTAAAACCATATTCATATTCCATGGATTGGGAGTGGTGGAATAATTTGTGCTATTGCTTCTGTAGCTACTATAAAGTGGGTTCATTTTTGGCCACCAAAAATATTTGTTAAAGTCCTAAACCCTAGTACATCAGAATATGATCTTATTTGGGGAAGGAGTTGCATGTATAAGTAGCTGAGATTAGGCTAATAGAATTAGTCTAATTAAATTAATGGAATAGTTTTTGTGCTTAGTCCAGTATAACTGGTGTCTTTATAAGAAGAGAAGAGACATAGAGACACAGAAACACTTGGGGAGGATGTCATGTGATGATGAAGGCAGAGATTTAAATGCTGCACCTGCAGGCCAAGGAATAACAAGATTGTCAGAATACCACTAAAATCTACAAAAAAGCCAAAACTTGTTATTCTCTCTAGATTTCAGAAGGAACATGGCCCTGCTGATACCATGATTTTGGACTCCTAGCCTCCAAAACTGTGAGATAATAAATATATTTTGTTCTAAGTCACCAAGATTGTGGTATTTTGTTATTGCTTCCCTAGAAAAGAACGTAGTGCAACGTGCTATAGGAAAGTCTAATCTCAGAATATAATTGGCCCGGTGTAATCATCTGTTAAATGTATATCTTCAAGGATGGCTTTCACATAGTACTTCTCATTTCAGAATGAAAAGAATTTAGATCACGGATGGCAATCTGGGAATATGAGATAAGAAAACAAGACGGAAAATTGAGGGAAGTAAAATAACCAGATAGATGGCAAGAGGCCGAGTCAATTAATGGTGTAAATGAGGGGAAACCAACAAGAGAGTACTGTTGGCAATTTTAGTAATGGAGTGTCTGATGTCTAACACAGTTTACCTTTAGTAAGGGGGGATTCTGCATACATAAGTTTTTCTACTTGCTAAAATTTGTAACCCCTAAATCATTATTAGTGGTGCTTCTGCAGACATTCTTTGATACATGAAGAGTAGCAAACATTTTTCCATTGAATGGGCACATTGCCAGCTTGAAGTCAATGACCAAGGTGACTCTCTGCCTTCTCATTTCAGATTTTATATAGTAAACAAAGATCATGTGTGTGGTATATTTAGTGCCACATTTTTGTCATGTTTCTGTTTTCTCTTTGAGTTTTGCTTTTAATTATGGCCCCCAAACATTATGCTAAAGTGCTGTCTAGTGTTCCTAAATGTAAGAAGGCTAATGTTAGTGAACCAACCATATGTACCAAATAGTGTGTCTTTAAATAGAAACATACATAAAACAAGGTTATGTATTCATTGCTTGATGAAACATTGTGACTGGAGGCTCAAAAGTGCCTAATCCTTTCTTCCTGAAAGAGCAATAATTAATTATTGCTAATTCAGTGTTTATATAGACTTTCTAGAATGTAACTACTGGGAATAGCAAGAATCAATTGTGTGCAATTTAAATTTGTGTCTTCTGTAGTATACTCATATCATAATGGTATAACCTCTTCACTGTGATCATAAACCTTCAGTAAAAGTTCTGAGTAAAAGAGGAGGGTGGGGATGGAGCATAGAGTCCCAGGTTCTGTGTGATGTCAGATCTAAGATAAAGAAACAGTCTCAAAAAAGAAGGCAGAGAATTAAGAGCAGGAATTCCAAGCTTGAGGTTAATTGTATAAAGCCCCTCATCATTCAGAAATATTTTGAAAAGTATATGATCCTCTGCAAGATTTTGAATGGAGATTTGAGATATTTGACATTAGATGTTAAATAAGTGGTATTTGGGTAACATAGTCCAGTTATGTCTTACTCTCTTTGTCTTGGCTCCTAACCAATATAAAACTGGTTCAAGTTTTAAAGTAAATTCACCTTGAAAACTTAACCTAAGCATCTAGTATACCTAAAACCTTACTTTTGTCTGAACTGCTACTGTCATTTTGATTATAAGCATCTTACTATTGTCATTGGAAAAGTCATGACATGTTTTTCTATTTTTCTATGCAAAAGTGCATCATGACTTTTCCAGGTACTCAACAGTATCACATGTGAATAATGTATAAAAATTCTTGTGTGTGGGTTTGATTCTTTATTTTAAACCAATAAGTAAATCAAGACAAGATTCATGACAATTTATCTTTTCTTCACCACCTAGCTCAGTAATAAACACAAAGAGGGAACCCAGCTCAATAAAAACCTTTGTTATCATTATTTTGCATCAAGACTTTATTCAAATGATCCCATAAGACCAAATTTATTGTTGTGAAGGAAATGAGTGTAGCAATTGAGAACTCAGATGCTAGAATCAAGAATACCTGGATTTGATTTCTAAATTATCTAACCTCAGACAGATTACTTAAGTCTCAAAGTGTCTATTTCTTCATCTATAACATATGGACAACACTAGCACCTATCTTTTAAGGTTGTGATAACTAAATAAATTATATCATAATTCCTCTTGCATAGTTTCCCATACATGCATAGCATTAAATTAGTCAATAAACAATGACAACAGTAGAAGCAGTGCTATTTGCATAAATGCTGGGGCAGAGGTATTGGGGTTGTGATGAATAAAACCACCTGCAAAGTAAAGAGTGAAACAGAATCCAGCGTAATAGATCAAGTCCTATAGAAAATATAACTTCAAATCTAACCTAAAGTGTCCTTGAGAGCCCTTCTGCAGTTGCCCTCAGCAAATACTCCTTTTGTCCCCAGAAACAGTCACATCACTAGATATTTAAGAACATATGATTGGCACACAGGCTTACTTGTCTGCAATACCATTGAGTACTCATGAACAAAGAAGACACAAGGAAAGAGAATGTAGCAACAGTCCTAAAAGACAGTGTTTGGAATTTTAGTTTAGACTCCTTTTATTGCAAGATTGTGCCAAAGTGAGCTTCACTACAAATGGTACTTTTTTGCTTATTCATTTATCCAAGAAACATTTTTTGAGTACTTACGTTTTTGCCAATCACGTTGTAGGCACTGAAAATACATTAGCATATAAGTCGACGAAGTTCCTGCACTCAAGGAGCTTACATTTTTAACTTAGTACTTTGACAATAAACACAATAATACGATAGGTAAGAGGGATGCATGAGGTTAGGCATGGTAGTCATCAGAGAAGGCTTCTCTGAGGAGATGACTTTTGAACTAGAACTCAGAAGATGGGGAGGCAGCCATAGGAAGACCTATATGTAGGAACAAATAGGCAATGGGATCAACAAAGATAATGCTTTGCTGAAGAATCAGCTTGGTGTGTTTCAGGGAGAAAGCGCAGGCCAATGTGGCTAGATTGTGGCAAACAAGTAGGACAGTATAGGAGCTGAATTCAAAGAAACAGGCAGAAGCCAGATGTTATAAGACATTCTAGGCTATGACAAAGGGTTTTATTTCACTCGAATTATAATAGGAAGCCACTGAAAAAAAGTGAAAAAATAAGACTTTATAATCAGTACTCAATTTGATTTTTTAAAAATAGAGAATGAATGGATTATGAGGATAAGAGTAGTGAGAAACAATTGAGAAGTTATTGCAGAAATTCAAGAGATGGTTAATGGTGATTTGGACTAGAGATAGAGCATTGGAGATGGTGGGAGGGAACACTAGATATTAGATGCTCACTATATTTTAAACCAGTAGAAATTTCCAATGGATTAAATCAATAATTGGGGGAAATCATGGGCTTAGTAAAGAGTACGATCATACATTTTTTTTTTTTCGCAGATGCTGTCAGAGCAAGCATGCAGGAGTCTAACAGCTAATGGCCTTGTATTTGGGGAACTCTCACAGAGGCAGCCGAAAGTGCCTAAAGTCGGGATTGGGGTCCCTGAATGAAAGTGCTACAATGTAAGTCACGACAAAAATAATTCCTTGGATCATATTCTATATTATCTGACTGCAAATGTATCCTTGTGTCTGATTACACACAGAACAAGGGCTATGCTAATGAGCAGAATTCTATTCGACTCTAAGTGATTTACTAATAGAACAGTTGTGTTATCAATGGCATACAAGCTATATGGATTTTCTAACCTCGTATGTGATCAAACCACAAAAATCTATGCATTGCATGTTAGGTATGTATGACCCTGAGGGCCAGCTAGCTGGTACAGTGGTAATGTGCTACTGATAAGGAGCTGTGTCCATATGGAAGACCACAGATTTGGTTTCTCAGTCATCTTGTGTACAACAGGTGTGCAGTCTGGAGAAGGGATCGCAACATGAGACACTGTTGAGGGTGTTTGTCTTTTCTCTGTCTCTGTCTCTTTCTCTCATGAAAGAAAAATATAAACTATAAAAAAAGAAAGAATAAGAAATAGATGACTCTGACTAAAAGCCCTTCTTCAAGCTATCCTTGTTACACTGATCCCACTTGTAAATTAACCTCCTTACTGGGTAATTATCACTACAGGGTGGAAATGCTTCTTCAGCCTCTACAGATTCCAAAATCTCAGTAGTGGTAATGCACTTCAGGACTGCACTCTCTCATGGTGAAAGGTCCCATAGCAGTCCTGGGGCTCAAAAAAAAAATTTTTTTAATGTTCCAAATGCTGAGTCACCAAAACATTCTGTGCTTCTAAGTTCAAGCTGGTAAGTTTTCTCAGTCAGCTCGTCTTAAATTACCTTTACCTTTTCTTCTTCTTCTTTTTAAAATATTTATTTTATTTAATTTTATTTATTCATTCATTTATTTTAATTTGACCAGAGAGAGATAGATAGAGAGACAAAGAGAAGGAAAGTGAGAAAGCATGCTACTAGGTCCTGGACTTGAACTACATCTTTGCCTCCTCTTCATCCCCTTCTCCTTTCCTTAGTGCTCTTCCTTCTTTATCTCCACTTTTTTTCTAAGTGATCTTCTCTGTTAATGTGCTAACTGGATTCCAGCTGTGGGCTCCAATTGTGGGGTATAGTACTTAAATGATTGTTTATCTATTTGTCTCTTTTACTTTCCCAAAGAGCAAATTATGCATTTCTGTTCTGGCATCATATACGTTCTTCATCTCTTGGGTTCTAAGACAGGCTATTGAAACTGTTTAGTTTCACTTGGACCTAGATCTGGTCAATTAAGTTTGTGTTATGAACCAGGAAGTGGTGTGGTAGTTGAGGCACTAGACTCCCATGTGGCTGACTGCAGTTCAGCTTTTGGACCTGGTGGCTTACTTTTTTCACTTCTTCTCTCCCTCTGTCTCTGGTGAGTTCATGTGCCCTATAGCAAATTTCAAAATAATAATAATACATAAAAGTAAATAAGTAATTCTTTTAAAAAAGATAGTTTTCGTTTCTGAGTTGTGAGATACAAACAACTTTGTGGGGTGGCAGCAAGGGTGGGTTATGGAGTCACCTTAAAGGTATTAATCAGCTCTAGGCCTTGTTGTAGTACCATAGTTTTACCATAATGCTCTGCAAAATGGGAAGACATATGGAAGATTGGGGTTCAGTTCACTGATCACTATTGTGTATACATGCGTGTGACCACTATTGTGTACACAGATTGGCTAAAAAGTCTGGGGATAGAACTTTGACCTGAGAATGTGTTGAAGAGTGTGTATTGAAAGTGTGTTTTCCTCTCTTTCTCTGGTTAGTGCACATACATTTGGGCAATTTTTTTTAAATCCAACAAATACAGTGCACATACATTTGGGCAATTTTTTTTAAAATTTAACAAATATTCCTCTGTCTCTCTCTCTCTCTCCTAGGAAATAAACACTAAAAGAAAACAAAGGCATTAGTTTTAAAAGTTGTCTCACTGATTATCAGATACCCACTATCTTTGAGAAAGAGTGCTATCTGCATTCCTAATCCGTTATGGTAACATTTTTCAAGGTTCTATGAGAAAAAAATTCCATGGTTAATCATGCTGGGATACATGGTAAATATGTTTGGGAGAAGCAGGGATAAATGAGTTTCTTTACTGTATAAAGTATCAAAGATTTTAACAGGCTCATATGTTTCTCTAATTTTCAAGTTTTTAGAATTTTCATATTAGAAAGAAAATGACCATCAAACTCCTTTAAGAGATATCTTGTGGGGCAAGTATTCTATTCCCTGCTGTTGCACAAGTATTGAGCTTCCTGTGCCTTGTGGGAGAGCTAACATTGAGGGCACTCAAAAGAGCAGCAGTGAGGTCAATGGAAGCAACTTAGCCAACTGATTACTGTCTTCACTGTGGATAGGCACAGTGTGTTCGAAGCAGAACTCTCTCCCTAGAGTTACATTCTGTTACTTAAGTCAATTTTTGAACAAAGTTGAACACAAAGGAAAAATGGAAAAGTTTGACCTTGAGTGAGGAAGAGGTTTATGGGCAGTTCATAATTGCCCAAGCTTTGGGCTCTAGAACGCTCTTTAATTTCAGCCCTGTTATTGTTACACTGTGAAGAAAATGTCTTCATATCTTTATGTTTTTTGCATCTCTAAGTTTGCTGTGAGGGTAGTAAAAATTGTTCTCTCTTAAAGATGTGTTGAGAATTAAGCTGTAGCATCACAAGAGGTTTTCCAGAAGCAAAAACTCAACATTTATTAAATTTGTACTGGTTGTGCCCTACAGATCTTGCTTATTCTGGTCACTAGTTATTGTGTTATGCTGCAAAAGTTCTTGTGCCTGAGGGCCAACTGCTGATAAATTACAAGAAAAAGGCCAAATATGTACTATATCCATGTAAAGGATGTAAAAAGAACTAATAATCTTATTGGATTTTTAAAAAGAATTTTTTTTCTAGAATAAAGCCTTAGGCAAAAGGAAATATAATAATAAGAGATAAAACTGTCATGCAATTGACTTTACAATGACTACTTGCTCTACAGAACAGCATCTTAGCCTATGACTCAGGGGTCTTATTGGATCTTGGCCGATACCCTGACTTCCCCTTAGCTGATATGCTTTCTCGTCCAGGAACACTTAGATCCCTATATATAATCATGAGCTTAATTTGATTTTGTGCCAGCCATTATGAGGTTGTCTTGAAACAGTCGTATTTACCGCCTATAAGGTCTAATCAGAAAGGCTGCTATGTTCTAGATATCTCTGAAAGTTATTACCAGAGAAGACATTTATACATCTTTAAAATTATCCAGCAGGACTGGTCACAGAGCACAGTGGTTAGGTGCTATACATTGAAAGCTGGATCTCACATGGTCGACTGCAGTTCAAATCCTCGTCCTGGTGGTGTGAAAAGCAAGCCAGACATATATGCATGTGTCTAAAATCCTGAGTAGAGAAGAGAAATGGAGGAAAAGTGATTGTGGCATGACTACACCCTGTTGAAAGTGTGTTTTTTCTTTTTCTCTGGTTAGTGCACATACATTTGGGCAATATATTTTTAAAAGTCCAACAAATATTTATTAAGTCCTCTGTGTACAGGATTTTCTAGGTTGCAGAATCCAGGGAAGACAGGTTTATCTCTCAATGCCATTGTCTCACATCATAATGCAATCTATACAAATGGCTTCAACTTTTGCCATAGACTGGTTTTATTCAGAAAGTCATTAAACACTAACTTCAAAAAGGCCCAGAGCAGGGGATCATCAGGTGGCATGGTAGTTAAGGTTCTGGATTCCTACATGACTGACCACAGTTCGAGTCCCAGACCTGGCAGCTTGAAAAACATGCCAGATGCCTGTATGCATGCCCCAAAGACCAGGAAAATGGAGAAGAAGGAATTGTGGCATGGCCATCTTCCCTGGAAGCAATTTCTAATTTTCCCTCCCTCTCTATCTCTCTGTCAAGCACACATGCCCTAATGGCAAAAAAAGGGGGGGAAAATGACCAATGGTCCAGAGTGGGGAAGTCATAGCAGTGAGTCTGAACTGAAGTCCCACAGACAGTGAAAAGATGGGTGAGTTAAGGGAAATCTGCTGGGTTCAGTCATCCATAGGTTCTATGCTGATACCCTAGTCACTTGTTACCCTGTATCTAGATAATTGTAGCCTGTAACTTAAACATCTACGAATCCTTGCTGTTGTATGGTCTCTGGCTTGACTGCTTCCTTTTTCTCTTTAGTTATTTAGCTCTTCCCTTGACTATATTAGTTACTTAAGTGTTCCTTCACCTTTTCTTTTTTTCTTTCTTTTTTTTTTTTTGCACTTTATATACCAGAGGCATATATTTTCTTAATATTAAAGTATTTACTAGATCGATAAAAGTTATAGAAATTGTCCAACCAAATTTCCTAACTTTAATCAAGTCCTATATACTGTTAACAATAAGCACAATGTTAATATTAATAAATGTTAATATTTCAGCTTCCTTTAAGACAGTGCATACTGTTTCTTCTGTTACTTGCTAGCCTCTGTTCTCTCTCGTGACAGCTGGCGTCTGACTGTTGTCTCAGTGTACTGTTTTTGAACCTGAGACTGTTCTTTTACTTACTGACTGATGCTGCTTTTCTGGGTTGGCTTTCATTGTCTGTGGGACTTCAGTTCAGACTCACTGCTATGACTTCCTCACTCTGGACCATCTCCTCCAGGATTGACTGCCACAGCTTTGGTCGGCTTTGGTTGAAGCAATGAATGAAACTACCTTAGTTCTCCAGGGGCAGTATCTGAAGTGAATAGTTCAGGTATAATGAGGTTTCAACCTCAAAATATTGTGGTTTGTGATTTAGCACTATCACATTTCCAATTTTTTTTTCAAAATATGTTCAAATCAGTTTAAAATATGAATCAAGGGACCAGCAGATGGCATAATGGTTACCTCGCTAGACTCCCATGTAGTCGATCATGGTTTTAGTCCCAGACTTGGTGGCTTAAATCACATACCAGGCACGTGTACATGTGTGCAAAATCCTGGGAGGAAAATAGAGGAGAAGGAATTGCTGCATGGCCATCCCCCCAGGGGTG